GACAACAGGATAGATAAGTGTAAGTTTTTTTATCCTATATGTAATAAAATTGAAAGCGCGAGATAAATCAGAACACACACACACACACACACACACACACACACACACACACACACACACACACACACACACACACACACACACACTCACACTCACTCACACACACTCACACACACACTCACACTCACACACAAACGACCTAAATTACCCTATAGTGATTTTCCTAACATCAATGGTAACTACACTGAAAATGATAAATCTAATCTGTACTGATACGGTTGGGAGCTGAAAGGAGATTAATCCCGTGTAAACATATATTAATCCCGTGTATAGATTAATCCCGTTTATAGATTAATCCCGTGTATAGATTAATCCTGTGTATAGATTAATCCCGTGTATAGATTAATCCTGTGTATAGATTAATCCCGTGTATAGATTAATCCCGTGTATAGATTAATCCCGTGTATAGATTAATCCCGTGTATAGATTAATCCCGTGTATAGATTAATCCCGTGTATAGATTAATCCCGTGTATAGATTAATCCCGTGTATAGATTAATCCCGTGTATAGATTAATCCCGTGTATAGATTAATCCTGTGTATACGTTTCCCATAATATTTTTTTTTTCAGCGCCAAAGGTGTTATTATGTCACATTATAACTACCCATAACAAGTCTATTTTTACCTCCCACTACCGTGACCTCATATAGGGTAGTAGTATTATATTGATAGAATTATTATAGGGAATATTAATAATGTTTTAATGACTCACACGACAAACACACTATTGGTATACTATGGAATACTTCTTGTCATGTTGTAATAATATTTTCATCTTCCTCAGTTGCCTGTTGGAGGAAAGTATAAACCCTAATGGGGAAACTTTCAGATCATCTAGAAACTATTAAAACTTTTTGCAATGAAGTTTTTTTTTTTAAGGATTATACATATTAATATTTTCGTTATCCTATAATAATCACTGGATCAAACTCAAATTTTGTCGTTTAACCGAAGTGAGTTACACCGGCCTTCACCTTTACCGAACAAGACCAGGGAGAGGTATGTAAACAGAGCAAAAAACACGTATAGTACAAGTTATATATGTGAGAAGAGGTCAGGTGTAGTCAGTCTGTCTGTCTGTCTGTCTGTCCTCACTACGATATCATGAGAGAATTAAATCCAATAAAATCTATTTAAATAACTTGCAGGTAGAGACACTTTCATAACCTAATTAACACCTCATTAACCTAACCCAAAGGTGATGGCACAGGTAACTTCATATATCGGTTGTATAAAATTATCAAGTTTTAGCAGAAAATACCATACTGAAGGAGAGAGAAAGACAGGTGAGAGAGAGTTAATGAAAATACAGGTAAGTTCTTAATTAATATGATATACGATTTACCTGTGTTTGTAATATGAAGGAAAATATTATATTGATTTGTTATATGAAGCTGTGAGTAGTGGTGGTGGTGGTGGTGGTGAGTAATTAATTGGTGGTGGTGGTAGGTGTGGTGTTGAATTTAGTGGTGGTGGTGGTGGTGAACATTGGTGATGGTGGTGGTAGTAGCTAGTGGTGAGTGGGCTATGGTGGTGGTGGTGGAGGTGGTAGTGAGTAATTGGTGGTGGTGATGGTGATGGTGGTGGTGATGAGTGATGGTGGTATGGTGGTGGTGGTAAAAAGTGACGAATTGGGAGTTACAGGGGAAATAAATAGGGGGAAATTAATGGGAAGAGATTACATGGGGGCATAATGAGGTGAATTTATTAAGATAATTATGAGGGGGAAAATGCAGGGGACAAAATTGATAAGATTACGAGGGAGGTAATGAGGTAAGATAATGGGGAACATTCTGAGGATAGAGCTGCAGGTGTTAATGAGGTAAACAGTGGGCAGGTGTGTGGCCAAAGGTTAGGGTGAGTGAGGGTGTTTGTATCTCTCTGAGGCTCCTGTGTGTGTGTGTGTGTGTGTGTGTGTGTGTGTGTGTGTGTGTGTGCTCTTGCTTTAAACAAATATAGACCTTAGCTCCACCACCATTCGTCACAACACACACACACACACACACACACACACACACCTGGGGTTATCCATGATATCATCCCCTGACTAAATCTCTTTTCTCTCCTCTCTCTCTCTCTCTCTCTCTCTTTCTCTCTCTCTCTCCTATCTCTCTCTCTCTCTCTCTCTCTCTCTCTCTCCACAACAAACGCACCGGCAGCTTCGAAAATACCAAGCAATTCTGTAGAGCCTTGCCAGCACCAAGGAATAGCTCAGGATTTACTTGGATGGCTCAAGACTTCGTGGAATTTCCGAGTATTTGAGGAGAGAGAGAGAGAGAGAGAGAGAGAGAGTAATTGATGGCGGTGATAGGAGTAGTATAATATTTTTTGTGTTTCCTCCCCCGCTAGATTTAAAAGCTCAGTTATTGTATTAAATACCTCAAGGGGATCGGAACCTACATTGTTTCTATATTTGTACGATAAGCGATCAGTGTGTGGATGTTTTATCATAATCTATCTACCTTATTCATTCATTATTTCTTTATCTGTCTACCTGTACAGTTTATATATATTGGTAAACATTACTTATCATTATACATTGTTATATAACTGTTTGATAGCTAAACCTAACCTAATCACATCTCCTTCTAAAATGTAATTGGCTCTTGTCACTCTCTCGTGTAAGGTGATCCTGTAAGATGATTGGCCTTTGTCTCTCTGTCTGTTTCAAGGTGATTGGCTCCTGTCTCTGTGGTATAAGGGGATTGGTCTACATCCCCCTCTACTCCCATTATGAGTGGATGAATCTCTTGTGATGCTGACGTCACTTATATTTTTTTACTCTATCTCGGTCATTGGTGAAGCTGAGGTGTGTACGAGGCAGTGTAGGACAGGTAACAAGGCCAGGTAACAAGGCCAGGTAACCAGGCCAGGTAACCAGGCCAGGTAACTGAGCCGGGTAACAAGGAAGACCAGGTAACAGGCCAGGTATTGCAGGCCAGGCCCTTGAGCCAGTGGCAGACCCAGGTAACCAGGCCAGGTAAGACACACAGCCCCCCAGCATTAATCACAAGTGTATGTAAATTCGCTATAACATTAATGGATATAACATCATTAGAGTGAATAATTACTTAACTGGTGAAGGTCATACTCTAAATTAATGTAGTCACCCCTGAAGACTGTCTCATGTCAGCGTTTTCTTTGACTCCGGGAAAAAATACATGACATTTGCATAATTTGTGTGTGTGTGTGTGTGTGTGTGTGTGTGTGAGGTCAAGGGGACGGTCAGAGGTCGCGGAGGGAGGTAATATTTTGAGAGCTCACTTAACCTAACCTAACCTAACCTCTTATTGGGTTTACTGTGAGGCATGTCTGTACGGTCAATGGCGACGTGAGAGAACTGATCTAATTTTAGAGAGAGAGAGAGGGAGAGAGAGAGAGAGATGGTGTCATGGATAACTTCATCTGTGTGTGTGTGTGTGTGTGTGTGTCAGTGACCAGACCACTGCAAGACAAGGAAACCAGTGTTAAGGAACCTTACCACACAAATGAGGAGAAAACTTAGATTTTTTTTTAGATTACCCATGAGGGGGCTAGTTTATTGGGCACCCCCTTACATCCTGTGTAAGGTGAAGTGCAGAAGCGTTTACAGCGCCCATCTGGGAAGCATGCGTAGTTCATGCTTGCCTTTATGACTCAAGCATTAAGGGAGTAAAAGCTTGAAGGGTCATGGGTTTCTCAGCAAGTTACATTAAGTGACAGAATGATGAGTGTGTGGGGGAAAATTACCGGTACAATTTATCTGTTTATGGCAAAGTGTGGCAGGAGGAGGAGAGGGGGATTATATTTAGTTTAACAAATTTATCGACAAAGCTTGGAGTACAGTTTGCCTATTGTGAGTAATTTAGTCAGGTCTTGACACTGAGGGTGGTATCATTTCTCACTGCCACGCAGGACAGAGGTTCATACACAAAGGAATACATCATATTCATTAACAGTATATACAGTATAGGTCAGAGTCGTGTGGGTGATGTCACTGCTCGCTGCCATGCAGGACAGTGGTTCATATACATTGGACGTCATATTCTAATTGAAGACTAATCAGTGTGGGCTAGCAAATTTTGGAGAGGGGGAGGAACAGGAGGAGGAGGAGGAGGAGCAAGAAGAGGAGGAGGAGCAGGAGGAGCAAGAAGAGGAGCAGGAGGAGCAAGAAGAGGAGCAGGAACAGGAGGAGGAGGAGGAGCAAGAAGAGGAGCAGGAGGAGGAGGAGGAACAGGAGGGAGAAGGAACAGGAGGAGGAAGTGGAGGAGGAGGGGAGTAGGAGGAGAAGCAGGAAGAGGAGGAAGAGGAAGAGGAGCAGGAAGAGAAGCAAGAAGTGGAGGAGGAGGAGGAGGAAGACGAGGAGGAACTCATTAAATCTACAAGTTGAATCGTGAGTCACCCCAAGCTGAGGTCAAATGTGTCGAAGAGAGAGAGAGAGAGAGAGAGAGAGAGATAAAAAAAAAGTACGAACGTCAACCAAAAAGTAAAAGTTCTAATCCATACACTGACAGGGAGATGACAGACAAGGATAGTTAGCAAGTTCAGTATGAGATAATAATACCAGATACCCCCCTCACCCCCCATCCCCCATCCACCCCCTCACCCCCCATCCTCCCCCTCCCCGACCTCATGACTGTCAGATCAACCACAAGCACGTGAGGGCCGACAGACAGAGGGGAACTGAAAGCCACACATCAACGCCCTATAAGCTATTAGTGGCAGGGCAACTCCTGAGGGTGTTTACAGCATTCACGGATACATCTTTAATATATTTTAACTTCACTATGACCCAGATGAAGTCAATATTCCTTTTTTCAACTCATAATTAGGATGTAATAAAGTGACTTCCGTGTGTGTGTGTGTGTGTGTGTATTTACAGACTTCAAAAGTGGCTGACACACACATGTACATCTGTTCAGGCTTATCAACACCCGCTGCCTTCACCTCCTCAGCTCACCTCAGGCTCCCGCGCAACAAGATCAGCAGTCTCTCCTCGCACCAATGACGACACCATCAGTCTGGATTGAACCATGGAATGACCACATATTGGACCGAGCGTTGACCTGCCCTCCGTAACGATTGAGAGAGGTCAGCTGTCTCCTCACCTTGTCTACGTAATCTTCTCGCCATTTACACGCCCCCACACCTTCACACACACGCCTCTACACCCTCACACACGCCTCTACACCTTCACACACGCCTCTCACACCTACACACACACACGCCTCTACACCTTCACACACACACGCCTCTACACCTTCACACACACACGCCTCTACACCTTCACACACACACACGCCTCTACACCTCACACACACACCTCTACACCACACACACACCACACCTTCACACACACGTCTCTACACCTTCACACACACGCCTCCACACCTTCACACACGCCTCTACACCTCACCACACACACGCCTCTACACCTTTCACACACACGCCTCACACACACACACACACACACACACACACACACCAAAAAAGTCATTAATAATAAAAGACTCAACAAAGCAGCTGACAGGAGTCTTAACAACACAAGGAAGAGTGAAGGTGACCTCTCAACACCTGCCTCATTAAGCTCTCTCACCTGTGTGTGTGTGTGTGTGTGTGTGTGTGTGTGTGTGTGTGTGTGTGTTGTTGATTTCAGGTATTTTGTTGATATGTTTTTATACTGATCTAATTATGTCAACACCACTCTCCGTCTACCTGTTCCACACACCTGTATACCTGTAAGTTGTAATTGCCATGCACACCTTACACCCACTACTATTACTACTACACTCACCAACACCTCCATACTACTTCACACCGGCCTTACACCAGTCTCACACCAGCCTTATACCACCTAACACCAACCTTACACCACCTAATACCACCTAACACCACCTAATACCAGGCCTTACACTAGCTGCTCCCACACCGATTTATAATATCACATTCTAAATTGTGATCATCTCTCTCTCTCTCTCTCATTTCCATTCTACTTGTCTTCCTCATCTCCACTTTTTCTCTACCCTTTGATCTTCCTCTCTCCTTTTATCTCTTCTCCCTTCCATTTCTCAATCCTTCTCACTCTTTTTTCCTCCTCCCTTCCTCTTCTTCCACTCTTCCACCTCCTCCAGTTTGTCTTCTTCCTCCTCTTCCTTCTCTTTACCTATCTGTCATTCTTCTCCCTCTCTCTCTCCCTATTCTCTCTCCTTTTACCCTCCCTATGGGCTCTTAATCGCCCTTCACATATTATTATCATTATCATCGTCATTATTATTACTGTCATTGTCATCATTATCCTCATTATCATTATTATCGTCATTATCACCAGTAGCAGATTATCTTAGTTCACTGCTGGGTGAAATTCTGTTCCATCACCCTCCAATACCCTCTTCCATGAGCCTCCCCCGTCGGCCGAGAGCCTTCCCCGTCGGCCATGGTCATCCCCGTCGACCAGATTCTCCCATCGGTCAAGAGCCTCCCGACGGCCAAGAGCCTCTCCTGTCGGTCAAGAGCCTCCCTGTCGGCCAAGAGCCTCCCGTCGGTCAAGAGCCTTTTCCGGCGGTCAAGAGCCCTCCTGTCGACCAAGAGCCTTCCCGTCGACCAAGAGCCTCCTGTCGACCAAGAGCTCTCCTGTCGACCAAGAGCCTCCTGTCGGCCAAGAGCCTCCTGTCGGTCAGAGCCCTCCTGTCGGCCAAGAGCCCATCCTGTCGACCAAGAGCCCATCCTGTCGACCAAGAGCCTCCTCGTCGACCACATTTCTCTGCTGTGATTCCATCGACCCATCCGGCAGTTGGACTTAAGAGTCTTCTCTCATCTCCAGGGATCCCGTCAAGGCTCTACCTAATCCCTCTTCATGTGTTCTCCTTGCTATATGACCGTCCACTGCTGTCTCTTGTGATAATTTCTCTTCATGTCTCTTTCTTCTCTTAATGTATCTTCAATTTTCTTCATTACTCTTCATTTCTCTTCGTTTTCTCTTAATTTCTCTTCATTTTCTGTTAATTTCTCTTCATTTTGTTTTCATTTCTCTTCATTTTCTCTTAATTTCTCTTCATTTCCTGTTACATCGAGTTGTCTCTTGGCAGTCACCTAACACACCTGAGTCTACGTTTAGCCAAACTACTAATATACTAAATTATCACAGGTAAGACGGCATACATTATAACGGCCAACCTATGAGGGTTAGGTTAGGTTAGTTAGGGTTAGGGTTAGGTTAGGTTAGGTTAGATTAGGGTTAGGTTAGAAGAAGTTAGGGTTAGGTTAGGTTAAGGTTAGGTTAGGTTAGGTTAGGTTAGGTTAGGTTAGATTAGGTTGTGTTAGGTTAGATTAGGTTAAGAGGTTAGGTTAGATTGGGTTAGATTAGTTAGTTAGGTTGCTAGGTTAGATTAGGTTAGTTGTTAGGTTAGGTTAGGTTAGGTTAGATTAGGTTAGATTAGGTTAGATTAGGTTAGATTAGGTTAGGTTGTGTTGTTAGATTAGGTTAGTTAATTAGGTTAGGTTAGGTTAGGTTAGATTAGGTTAGGTTAGGTTAGGATTAGATTAGGTTAGGTTAGGTTAGGTTAGGTTAGGTTAGATTAGGTTAGGTTAGGGGTTAGGTTAGATTACTAGGTTAGGTTAAGTAGGTTAAGGTTAGATTAGGTTAGATACACTCAGATACACCAGTCACCTGTTAAGACACCAGAATACACCCAGGTGCACCAGGTATATTTTGGGTAACTCATATTACGGTAAGGTGTCAGTTAACGAGACTCCTGGATAAATTTACCCACTGGCTGTTTACGTTAGTGGTAATGAAGTCTTCAACATGCTATTACTGTGAACTGTGTTGTGGCGCCACGAGAACACTGTGGTTTGTGGAGCATTGGGGAGCATGGCGGTGTTGGGGATAGTGAAGGGAGTATTGGGGGAGCATGGAGGTGTTGTCGAAGGGGAGAGGAGGAGGGAGCATGGCGGTGTTGTGGCCAGGTGAGGGGGACATTGGGGAGCATGGAGGTGGCCAGGTGAGGGGAGATGGGAGCATTATTGGAGGTGGCCAGGAGGGGAGAGAGGAGGGCATGGCGGTGTTGTGGCCAGGTGAGGGGAGTATTGGGGGAGCATGGAGGTGTTGTGGCTGGGTGAAGGGGAGAGTGGGGAGCATGGCGGGTTGGCCAGGTGAGGGGGAGCATTGGGGGAGCATGGAGGTGTTGTGGCCAGGTGAGGGGGAGTATTGGGGGAGCATTATTGGAGGTGGGCCAGGTGAGGGGAGAGGAGGAGGACATGGCGGTGGTACAGGTGAGGGGAGTAGGGGAGCATGGAGAGGCAGGAGGGGGAGATTGGGGAGCATATGGAGGTGTTGTACAGGTGAGGGGAGAGGAGTGAGGAGCATGGCGGTGTTGTGGCCAGGTGAGGGGGAGCATTGGGGAGCATGGAGGTGTTGTACAGGTGAGGGGAGTATTGGGGAGCATTATTGGAGGTGTTGTGATAGGTGAGGGGGAGGAGGAGGGACATGGCGGAGCAGGGTGAGGGGAGTATTGGGGAGCATGGAGGTGTTGTGGCTGGGTGAAGGGGAGAGAGGAGGACATGGCGGTGTTGTCCAGGTGAGGGGGACATTGGGGGAGCATGGAGGTGTTGTGGCCAGGTGAGGGGAGTATTGGGGAGCATTATTGGAGGTAGTAGCTAGGTGAGGGGGAGTATTGGGGAGCATGGCGGTGTTGTGGCCAGGTGAGGGGAGTATTGGGGAGCATGGAGGTGTTGTGGCTGAAGAGGAGTGAGGGAGCATGGCGGTGTTGTGGCCAGGTGAGGGGACATTGGGGAGCATGCGGTGTTGTGGCCAGGTGAGGGAGTATTGGGGAGCATTATTGTGGTGGCTAGGTGAAGGGAGAGGAGGAAGGAAGGATGAGGAGAGGAGATAAAAGAGAAATAAAAGAGAAATAAAGGACGGGGGAAGAATAAGGAAGGAGAGAAGAAACTGATGAGTAGGAGAAAACTGTGGATGAAAGTTGAAGCAGGACGGAGATGATGATGATGGAGAAGAGATGGAGGGAGATGATGATGATGGGGAGGAGATGGAGGAGATAATGGTGATGGGGAGGAGATGAGGGAGATATGATGATGGGAGGAGATGGAGGAGATAATGATGATGGGAGGAGATGGAGATGATGATGATGGGAGGAGATGGAGGAGATAATGGTGATGGGGAGGAGATGGAGGGAGATAATGATGATGGGGAGGAGATGGAGGAGATAATGATGATGGGGGAGGAGATGGAGGAGATAATGGTGATGGGGAGGAGATGGAGGGAGATAGATGATGGGAGGAGATGGAGGGAGATACGAGATGGGGAGATGGAGGGAGATGATGGTGATGGGGAGGAGATGGAGGAGATAATGGTGATGGGGAGGAGATGGAGGAGATAATGGTGATGGGGGAGGAGATGGAGGAGATAATGGTGATGGGGAGGAGATGGAGGGAGATAATGATGATGGGGGTGGGGAGGAGATGGAGGGAGATAATGAGATGGGGAGGAGATGGAGGGAGATAATGGTGATGGGGGAGATGGAGGGAGATAATGGTGATGGGGAGGAGATGGAGGGAGATAATGATGATGGGGAGAGATGGAGGAGATAATGATGATGGGAGGAGATGGAGGAGATAATGATGATGGGGAGGAGATGGATAATGGTGATGGGGAGGAGATGGAGGGAGATAATGATGATGGGGAGGAGATGGAGGGAGATAGATGATGGGGAGGAGATGGAGGGAGATAATGGTGATGGGGAGGAGATGGAGGGAGATAATGATGATGGGGAGGAGATGGAGGGAGATAATGGTGATGGGAGGAGATGGAGGGAGATGATGGGGGGAGGAGATGAGGGAGAGGGATGGGGGAGATGGAGGGAGATAATGGTGATGGGGAGGAGATGGAGGGAGATAATGGTGATGGGGAGGAGATGGAGGAGATAATGATGATGGGGAGGAGATGGAGGAGATAATGATGATGGGAGGAGATGGAGGGAGATAATGGTGATGGGGAGGAGATGGAGGGATAATGGTGAT